CTCTCAGTTTGAAGCATAACAAACACATCTGGCATTCGCTGTCTCATATTTCTGCAGCCTCCCCCACAGAGCAATAAAACCCTGTTTACTCCAACCAGCCCAGAATGTTTATAGCCCTTTTAGTCCTCACATTTATGAAAGGATAAAACAGAGAAATCAATATAAAACACAAACACCCGTATAATTGAGCAGTTATTATACAGCCTTATGGCTCCTGTAATGCATACACACATGAATATTTAAAAACACAAGTACAGGTATCGTTTTGAGCAGTAATCCCATCTGGCTGCTGCAATTTACACACTTCTTCCCCAAACATCTTTAACGCACACACATCTTATCATGTAGCTTATCACACAACAGTCATATGTTTTCCTTTATGAAAGCCATACTTGTTGGGGTTTAACAGTCATCATCTCATGACCTCCTCAGGACCAGCTAACCAACAAAGCTTAACTGTCCTCATACCCCCAGGCCATCTCTGAACTTCCCTCCACCCGAAGTCAGCTCACCCAGAATCAGAAGGACCATTGTCTCTCTAATTGTGTGTGACCCACTCGTCTCCTGCTCTTTAGGAGTCTTAAAATGAACGCACATACATTTCTCTCATTAACTAATACTTAACATCCCATATATCAGGTGACATAAAAATGAATATACCAGAATTACACTGTATTAAACTTTTTGCCATAACACTTTATTTCAATTCTTCAAGCTGTAGGCTACTGGATACAATTTAGGCATTACCTGGTATAGAATCTGATGTCGGCGTCCGAGCCAGCAAACCGCTGTAACCCAAACTCTCGCTGGACACGCAACTCCTGCAATTTCTTTTTGAGATCCTCTATTTCTTTGGACAAGTCTTCAGTCGCTGAATAAGACATATCCAGTGCAGATGGTTCAGGGACTGAGCAGTAGTCGTGATCAGTGAGATCGCAGGGCTGTTCGTGCTCCTCAGGAGGGACCGGTTCACTGGGCCGCTCTCTTCTTTCCCACACACCAGGCCGTGGTATTTTTAAAGTAAAGCTGTTCCACTCAAACAGCATAGGTAAGGCATCTTTAACGAGCCTCCTTCGACCATCAAGTGTCGTTGGATTTATTAGCTGATCGGGGGCGAAGTGTCTGCTACAGACCTTGGAGTGAGAAGTGATGGTGAAGTTCTCCCGGCGTATATTTACAAGCCACTGTCTTCTTAGGTTGAGTTGGGTTGGAAAGCCATGAAAACTCAAAACACCATTACATTTCGCCGACGCTGAACACAGTGGGACACAGCAATGTTCAGAGTATTTCTTAGTTTGCCTTTGCATATGCTCTGTTTTAAATATTTTTTTCTGTACACTCATTTTGAAACCAGACGCTCTACCGCGAACGGCAGGGACCGGAAGTAGACGAGCCGCACTAACACGGAGCCGGAAGTACGTCACTGGTCCTAGTGCATGTAGTGTATTTGTCTAAACATCTTGCAAAAGTGCACCACATTCAGACGGATAAATGCACAGTTTTTGACTGTCTTTCTAGTAGCTCTGTAGCCCAAGGGCGCCGGAAGCGGGGGGGCCAGGGGACCATTGGACCCCCCACTTTTCAGCCCTGCCCCACATTTTCGCAGCGGCAGATGCCGCAGAACACTGTACAGATCCGTTTCAATAATTCCCCTCTATACTATAAAGTCGCATCTAAAACGCGATCTGATCTAGCTGTGTATATTTTGTTATTTTTTATTGTTATATTTAATCTCATTAGCTACAGGCATTTTTCAAGCTTGTAAAGGGAAGACCACAGCTCGCCTCTCACTGGTCACTCTGCTGTTCCTCAGCGCCGCTCCCCCTCCCTCCCGCTGAAATTATGAATGTAAGGCATGTAATCATAGATAACACGGCAGGGTCCGTTACAGTTTGTTTTTATCTGATTTCAAATAAACAAAGTCTTGGCTTTCAGAATATTAAACTTGTTTCGTCAAATTCAGATGATAAATACAACTTTGTAACAACTGTTGTAGCTGAGAGGTTTTTACAACCCACCTCGGCTCCGCGTGTCGTTTGGCGAGCTGCTTAAAATCATAACAGGAAGGAAATCAGAAGACACCAGGATACCAGTTAAACAATAATCTGTTTTAATTATAAAAGGTAATAATCCAATGCAATACAATACAATATAATATAAGGAGTACTCCTGCCCTGGTTCGCGTGCTGCTTAGATCCTTCGGTCTTGGCAGCCAGAGAAGAGAGAGCGAACACGCGAACACAGACAGGAGATACAGAGGTACCACGGGGAGGAGCCGGGGGAGATTCTCCTCCCACAGAGCCCATCCTGCAGCATTCCAGAAACTTCAGTTGTGTCTAAAGAATATTCTCTTGGCGACAAAGATATATACAAAGGTTTAATTTCTCATATTTCCAGCTCCTGGTTACACAGACTGCTTATTATATTAATAATACAAAGTAATTAAACACACACATCTACTATTCAAGATATGTAGATTTCCCTGACATGGTGGAGATTTTAAGAAAAATGTTTCCTCCCCTACCTCTTGTTGGAGTCCACAGGACCTAGTCCGTACTCCGCGCAGATCGTTTGGATATGGCCAGAGCAGGGTCTGGCCCGATGTTCCCGGTGAACCGTTCTTTTCTGGAGAGCAGAGGCAATAGTCTAGAAATAGTCAAACAGTCAAACACCACTGGACTTCGTACTCCGATTTGGTTCTGATATTACTTTGGTACTTTAATCACAGTTCAGCAAATACATTCAATTTAATACTATACCACAAAGCGCTTTGGACTCCTTCTTGAGGTCTCACCGTGACAGGTCCGTCAGAGTAAGATCCCAGTTAAAGAGAGCGCCGAGTTGTAGAAACATCCTGTCCTTATAGTTTTTGCTGTGTAGCCCCCACCTTTTGTGCTCTGTCTTGGTGTAATCTGCCTTTGCTGTCCAGCAACCCTTAGGTTCTCACAAGACTGCCCTTGGGAAACGTTGCGCCTGCTTGGTGGGTGACTTTGTGTGAGAACAATGAGTTCTGCAACCTTGTGGCATTTCAGTTTGGACAGAACGGACAGAACAGGATGCATCTGTTCTTAATCTGGTTAACTCAGCGTTTTTGTTGCACACAGTATTCACACAGTATATTTCCACTGAGGCTTCTCAATGATTGCAGCATTATATTTTAGCTTGTTTTACTATATCTTTACTTCTGTTACTTTTGTCTTATCAATAAGCCATCAATCCCCCTTTTGCCCCATTCCATAAATTGGGGCAATAACAACAATGTATGTAAGCGAAGCAATAGTTCAGTGCAGTAATTTCAGTATGCTTTAAATCATTTAGTCTATACAGTTTCTTAGCCGATGTTTTATGGTTCTCATGCGTCCATGTCGTCGCTTTGGACGGAGGAGGGAACTAATGGGAACGTGCCTTCATCGTTCGGTTCTTGATATTCTGGGTTTTCCAACAGGGGTAGCTGATGGTGGGCTTCCGTGGTTGGACCGACTGCAGTCGTGATGAGTTTCTCGACCATGGACCGCAAGCAGGGGATGCAGCAACAGCCACAGAGAGTGAGAATTGCCGCAAACACCGCAATTGATACAAGGACGGAGGTCACCAGACCTTTGTATCGACCAAAAACGGACATCCACTCGTCCCACTTCCCGTCTATTCCTGACTGATCTTTCATTCTAGAATTGAGGGTTTTTAGGCCATCCAGGGCTGTTTGTAAGGACCCGTCTACAGCCGTATTGTTGGGAATGAAAGTACAGCATTGTTCGCCGAACATGGCACACACACCGCCTTTTTCTGCCAGAAGCATGTCTAGGGCCATTCTATTTTGGTACGCCATTAGGGAAGTAGCTTTCAATTGTTCACTAACAGCCACTAGTCCATCATGAGTGAGGTTACCAAGACGTTGGACGTTATAGTGAACGTAATTTATTCTGTCTACATTTTTGTTCATTGTGCACCAGGGGCAGGGTATGGAGGCAAACCCATCTGCCACCTGGTCTGCTAGTTTGTACTCATTGGGAACTCCTCTGGGTACCCCTATGCCGTCTATGTACGTTGGATCTGGTTTGACAGTGGCGTCTCGTTTGACCCTGTTGAGGAATGGATAGTTCTCAGTGAGTTGGTGGAGTTCTGTGGCTTTCATTTTGAACGTGTTGACTGGTAGGAGTAACGTAACTAAGGCACACAGACCACTGGAGTTGAAAGGGATTCTATCATGTAATTTATTTGCCCCGTAATGGAACCAAACATCCGCTCGGATGATGCCTCGGTCTGTGTGGTTCTTGGGGAGTATGGTTGTACATAGGGTTTTGTTAAATCCGATTAGTGGTCTTCCGCCTGTGGAATTTAAACATGTGTAGTTCATGTCAGGCACGCGGGACCAAAAGAGGGGTTTCTTGATTTTTCAGGTATACACCGTGTAAGGGAAACGCGTTTAAGTGAAGCTTTTTGGTCGCATTTTGTGAAATTTACTGTATACACCGTGGCACGTGTTTGTGAAACATCACGTTTTGTACGGGTCTTACTGGAGTGATTTTGTGGTGTGGGGTTTGGTGGTGGAGTGACATTTCTTGGTGTGTTATCGTTGATCTCTCTGGGTCGTTCTCCAAGTAGTATCACTAGGATTCCGATCATGATTACCCCCATTAGGGCCAGAGCGAGGTATGCGAGCTGAGAGCTAGGGCTCCCCCTTTTGCCTTTTGCCATTGTCTTTTTCAAAGTCTTAGTCCTGTGTGTCAGTTTAAATGGATCTCCTACTGTGGTGGGTGTATGTAATGCGTGTGGTGTACCGCCTGCTCAGGGGGTGCGGTCCCTTGTCGTGCCTCCTTGCCGGCTGTTATCTCCTAGGCTGTGGATGGGCCCCCTCCGTTGTCCTCAGTGGGGTCCTGGGTCGGGGTGCCTTCTGCTGACCGGATGTGGAGGTCCTCTAGGTCGATAGCCGTGTCTTCAAGGGTCCTGGTTGGAGTTGGTGCCGCCACACATCGGGACCAGTGGTACCACGTGTCTCCTTTTCCTTCTAGTCGCACAGTGTGGTCTGTTCTCTGGGTTACCTTGTGGGGTCCGGTGAAGCGTGGGGCACACCACTTGGGTTTGACCGTCTTCAGTCGGATGTACTCCACGTCTCTGCCACCCTCAGCTTCTTCGGTATGTCCCTTGGCTCGTGTTTCTGTGGATTCGTCAGCGAACTCTGGAACAAGGCATTTTAGTTGTTAATAATAGTCTTCATGCCCTACTCGTTCATAGAGTTCTTTGGAAACCGTGGTTCCTGCCCCTGGGCCAGGAAACTGGTGTCCATGGGTCATCTCATATGGAGAGAAACCTGTGGTTCTGCAAATGGTGCTACGAATCACCAGTAAGACCAATGGTAGCGCCTCTAACCAGTTCAGCCCTGTTTCTTCCATAGTTTTGGCAAGTTTCTGTTTCATGTTCTGGTTCATCCTTTCTACCTTTCCCTGTGACTGTGGGTGGTACACTGCCCCGAATTTGTGGGTCAGGCCTAGAGAAGCTTCTACGGTGGCTAGGTCATGATTTCTGAAGTGACTCCCGTTGTCGCTCCTAACTTTTTTAGGGAACCCATGTCATGGGATGTAGGACTGAACGAGGAATTGGATAACAGTTTTTGAGTCTTCCTTTGCACAGGGTATGGCCTCTGGCCATCCTGTGTAGGCATCCATCATAACCAGCACGTACCTTTTTCCCTGATGTCTGTCTATCATGTCTGTGTAGTCTATGACTATTTCTTCTCCGGCCATGGTAACTGGGGGAAACTTTCCTTGGTGTGGTTTGATAGAAGTGTTCTCCTACTCCCCCTGTGCTTGGTCCTGGAGGGGGTGTTTTGATCGGGGAAAGTACGGCCTGAGTAAAAGGATTATTCGGACTGTATGGGGGCGGCGAAAACGGGCCGTCGCTGGGGAGTCCGGGATATAATCTGTTTTGGACGGCTGGTTCAGAACCCGGGGGTGTTTTTATCACCTGTGTGCCTGTGGCTGTTGGGGGAGTTACTATGATTTGGGCTGGCCTGGGTGTTGCTTCTGTAAGAGGTGCTTGTAGGGTGGGCCCTGGCGTTCCGCTATTTGTTACTGTTCCTGCGGCTGAGATGAGGACATGGCAAGTCCTTACTAGTCCCTTTAATCTATCTCGCGTATCTTGGTGTCCTTTTCTCCCGAACATCCCACACTTTGTGGAATTATGTCTTTTTAGTTGTTCCTCTATGTCTTTCTTTCCTTTCTCAAACATTTCGGCTGGACTTTTTCCTCCTATTGACTTCCCTTGTGCATCCACGTGATGCTGCCTGTATGCCATCAAGATACCATTATCTGACAAATTGCGGTACACTCGTGCCACCTTTTTCTCCCATTTATTCCAATTCTCTTCCTTCAGATGTTTTCGTCCTTCCTCCATCCATTTTTTCCATATAACCCCACGGGTTGCTGGAACCAAGAAGCCCTGCTTCCTTTCTCTCTCAAATTCACCTTCCATTTTCCCTTTCTTTCTACTTCTATGGTCGCTAGTGTCTTTCCTAGTCTTATACCTCCTGGCTGCTAATGTATGTTATTAGGCTGACGCTTTATCTTAGTAACTAGTGTCGCTCCACTAGGTTTATACTGCTCCGGGTAACTGATACGGTGATCAGGTTTACACCATCCCTTGGACTACGGCGAGTCCTTATAAATTACGGGTTCCACCCGCTTCTTCTCCCACAAATTTGTTATGCAGTTGCTGAACTTAAAATTAGTTTTTTATCTGTTTTTCTGGTTTGTTTTATTCGTTTGGTTTATACATTCGTCTTATTTTATCCCGTAGCACAACTCTAAAATGTTGTAATATGTCAATCACACCATTTAGCTGTAACAGGTAGGTGCTTACCTTGGTTCTGTGTCCTACCCGGGTTTAGCTGTGTTTTGGGGATTTTTGATAAGCCGAAGTTTTATTCCGTCTACTCTCAGAAGGTCACCGGTGTCCAATTCCTCCTGCTCTGACCATCACGTCGGGGTCACCAAGCTGTTGGAGTCCACAGGACCTAGTCCGTACTCCGCGCAGATCGTTTGGATATGGCCAGAGCAGGGTCTGGCCCGATGTTCCCGGTGAACCGTTCTTTTCTGGAGAGCAGAGGCAATAGTCAAACAGTCAAACACCACTGGACTTCGTACTCCGATTTGGTTCTGATATTACTTTGGTACTTTAATCACAGTTCAGCAAATACATTCAATTTGATACTATACCACAAAGCGCTTTGGACTCCTTCTTGAGGTCTCACCGTGACAGGTCCGTCAGAGTAAGATCCCAGTTAAAGAGAGCGCCGAGTTGTAGAAACATCCTGTCCTTATAGTTTTTGCTGTGTAGCCCCCACCTTTTGTGCTCTGTCTTGGTGTAATCTGCCTTTGCTGTCCAGCAACCCTTAGGTTCTCACAAGACTGCCCTTGGGAAACGTTGCGCCTGCTTGGTGGGTGACTTTGTGTGAGAACAATGAGTTCTGCAACCTTGTGGCATTTCAGTTTGGACAGAACGGACAGAACAGGATGCATCTGTTCTTAATCTGGTTAACTCAGCGTTTTTGTTGCACACAGTATTCACACAGTATATTTCCACTGAGGCTTCTCAATGATTGCAGCATTATATTTTAGCTTGTTTTACTATATCTTTACTTCTGTTACTTTTGTCTTATCAATAAGCCATCACTCTCTAGTCTTCTGTCATGAAAAAGCTGCTTCTATTTCATACAGAGTAATTAAACATGTTTAAGCCAACTACTCCACAATGTTTATAGCAATTTAGTCCTCACATTTATGAAAGAATAAAGCAGAGAAGTTAATAGAACACAAACCCAGGTATTGTTTGAGCAGTATTCACATAGCTGCTCAAAGAGCCTTGTCCTGCATATCTTTAACACACACACATCTTTATCATTATCAAAAGTTGATTGTTCTTTTAGCTTAAGGGCTTCTGTGAACTTCCTTTCACCTCGAAGTCCGCGTTTACTGGAATGAATGCATTCATTGACAATTCAGACTGACTATTGTCTCTCTTAACTGTGTGACTCAATTCTCAAGGCTTGCAGGATGTGCATTATTAACTTAAGAAGAATGTAACCATTATATCTGGGGAAAATGTCCCTTGTTATTTTGCAAAGACCATTGATGATTACCTAAGAAACTCATGGCCTCTGACTGCAACAAGACTTTCTGAAAAACACTTAACGGGTAATCTTTTCACTCAAAACAGAAATCACAAGTAATTCTGCATTTGACCTCCTCACAGATAGCCAAAAAACCACCCTTTTGATTATATGTAAAAGTGGAAGAAAAAGACTATTGCGCTAATCTACTTTTAAGAAAAAGGGAACATTGAGACCCTCATTCATGCATTCGTCTCCTCCCGGTTGGATTACTGCAACGGAGTCCTGTTCGGGGTTCCCAGTAAAGCCCTGGACAGGCTCCAGTATGTGCAGAACTCGGCTGCCAGGGTGCTCACTCACACCAAGCCCTGGCAGCACATCACCCCCACCCTGATCCACCTACACTGGCTCCCAGTCAAGCACCGTATCACCTATAAACTCCTTCTTCTGACTTACAAATCCCTCCATGCCCTCGCCCCCCAATACCTGTCTGACCTTCTCCGCTACCACACTCCATCCCGGAAGCTAAGATCATCTGGACAGGATCTCCTCTCCACCCCCCGCACCAGGTTGCGGACTTTTGGTGACAGAGCCTTCAGTGTGGCATCCCCCACCCTCTGGAACTCTCTCCCCCCCGAAATCCGCAGCGCCCCAACCCTGGACATTTTCAAAAAAGCCCTCAAAACGCACCTTTTTACCAAGGCTTTCGCCACTGTATAGTTAGTTTAATAGGTTTATTTTTCCGCTACTACTACTATGATGCACCACACCTCTTATATATGGGTGACATTAAAATGAATATACCAAAAATATGCTGTATCAAATTTTCTGCATAATACTTTACATCAATTCCCACACAACACACTCTCACTCCATAATCGTCCAGGAGCGACGTTTGGTCAGGGTCCCGTGGCGTGCAGTTGTGACGCTCCTAGGCTCCTTCAGCTTCATAAAGGGACGCAAATAGCTTTCAACTGATTTCAATGTATACCCATCTGCGGCGGGATTTGACGCTCATGGAAGCACGGCATTCGTTTGTGTCGGCTGCCCTTAAAGGCAATGTGAGCGTCCATTCCCATTGAATAACGGAGAATTGTACACCCGGAAGTAAGTATTCCCCTTACTGTCGATTGATTTTACAGTGATATCTGCACTACTCATCGACTAAAAAACACCAGATTATCCTTGTTAATTACACAACATTGATTGGTTTAAATTGTGTGCAATGCTTTTGTATTTTTCCCCTTCGATTCGGAGAAACAAATATTTTTTCCGAGTAAAGGATGGCAGAAGACACTACACTACCCAGAATCCCCAGCTATCGTTTAGGAATACACCATGTGCTCTGTTTGACAAGCCCTGTCATTAGTTCTCAAGCTCTGTGATTGGTTGACCTCCAACTGCAATTCCATTCATTCCAATGGCTGGCGTCTATGTCACGATCTTCAAATTTCTCCCTGCAGAAAAAAAAAACATGGCCGAACTTCGTTTTATTCTTGGTGGAAAATGCCTATTTTAATGTTAGTTTGGCCATTAAAATGCGTTTTGATGTCATTTGATGCGGGAAATATGAGTTGTTATTTCAGATTATGTGTGCAGTGGATGTATGATCTTTAGTTTGCTAGTTATTACGAAGATTACTTCAGGAAATTGTGTCCATACAACGTTTTCATTGTTACCAAGGTGGTTGCTAGGGATGCTGCTATCAATATTATTTCTGTTATGTTGTGTAACTGTTAGGGGTGTAACGGTTCACAAACATTTCGGTTCGGTACGTACCTCGGTTTTTTGGTCACGGTTTTTTTTTTTAATTATTATTAAACTGTGAATAATGTATTCACTCAAATAAATACAAAATATAATAAAATAAACATTAAGGTGCAGCATTTCGATTAACTGAAATAATCTGTATTTGAACTTTACTGTAGGCTACTAGTACTCACAAAACATAAACTATTAGTTTTGGGTTTTTAATTATTATTAAACTGTGAATATTCACTCAAATAAATACAAAATATAATAAAATAAACATTAAGGTGCAGCTTTTCGATGAACTGAAATAATCTGTATTTGAACTGTACTGTGCTAGTACCTAAGCAGCCAGCTTGACATTAGGACTTGCTTGTCATTGTATTTTCATGTTTTTTTAAAGAAAGATGAACTTGTCCACATTGCTTGCTGAAAGGGCAGATCTGCTGGCACTAACAATGTCTCCTGCGGTGGAGAACACCCTCTCTAGGGACAGAGGTAGCAGATACAGCCAGGTAGCGCTTTGCTAACATGGCAACATAAGGATATTTGGTGTTTGTAATAGCTTTGGCTCGGTCTGAACTCTCTGCGAGTGGTGGAGGCTTACATGCTAGTGGGAGTTGGGTTTGCACTTCAGTCTGTTTTCTTTTGGTACCGGTGATATTCACGTTCAGGTGATGCCTTTTCAAGAGTGTGCAAGTTTGATGTATTGCCAGCCGCGTAACCAATTTTAGTTGAACAATGCCGACAAACAGCTTTGGTTCGGTCCACCTGTCTTTGTCCTTCATCCTTGTACGTAACTGCGAAACCAAAATGTTCCCAAACCGGAGACTTCAATGATGCTGGAGGATTTTCGAGCTCAACTTTATCTGCGTTCGCCATTAATTTTCGACAGTTCCTCAAATTACTGACTACATTTGAACGCATCCCTCTGACCAGCTCTCATAGTATGCCTCTCATCCAATGAAATGACTTGCTCGCTCTATGACGCATTGAACCCAATGTGAGCAAATTACTCTGAATGCTGCGACGCAGCACCTGAGATTACTTCCAAAAAGTTGTTCACGTTCTCAATGTTTTACGTTTAACGTTATATTCGTTCGGTACACTTCGGTACACACCTGTACCGAACCGAAGGGCCCGTACCGAATAATTTCGGTACGGGTACGTGTACCGTTACACCCCTAGTAACTGTTTAATGGTGTTATCTTTATTGCTACCCCCTTCCCCGTCAATTTATAGTGTTGGTCCACAGCGCAAACGTATTAGTTTAACAAAATCTGCATCTAAAGATAGCCTACGTTATTTTCCCATGTGCAATTCCAGTCTCACATCTCACAGCACATCGTCTTAACAAATACCGGAAACAGACCGAAAACTTAAAAAAAATACTTTATTCCGAGTGTGCTTGCTTTTCTCTTTGAAAGTCATCACATAACGGCATTGTAGTACACGGTTCGGCTGCATTAAATATTACATATCTGCCGTAGTTCTGTATTTATAGAGCCCTGATGAGAAGACTTCTAGACAAACATGAGGAACTGAAAACGTGACGTGGGTCATAAATATATCAGCCATTAAACAACATCTTACATTTATTTTCACACAATACGTCTCCTTGCAGTATCAACACTAATTCGGCTGACTTTTATATTTGATCCAATTGGTAGATAAGCTGTATTTACTAGGGCTGTCAAGTTAACGCGTTAATACAAGAACAATTTTTTCCTCGGCCGCCCCGTAGTTTCAGAGCGCATCGAGTTTAAAATACCGTCTATAAGCTGATGCTGACAGCCCCGCTCCTGCCGCCCGCTTGTGGCAGACCACACTTCCACGCTCACCGGCAGGCACCGACTGGCTATCGGGAGGACCGGGAGGCTGTGTGAATTTGTGTGATTATACTAAATGATTTACAAATAAACACCACTGCATATTTACAACTGTTACACATGCTGATGTAACGCAAATGTTCCAACTTGGGATCAATAAAGTATATCTTATCTTAAGCTGATCGATGGCTACTGCCATATTTGCAAAATTTGCCTCTGAACCTTGACAAGTGCATGTTTCAGGCTTATCAATTAATGTAATGTAATGTTATCAATTAACAACTGTGGGGTCACAAACATAAGACCAGCTGTTAAATAAAGCTCTTCTGACCTTAGCTGGCATGTGTGTATATATATAGTAATGCTGCCCATTATGGGCACAAGCAATTTTCACCCATTTATTAATTATATGTTTTAAATTTGAGTGTTTCCTATCCCCTAAACTTCCAGGGATGTACACAGTTTAATACTGGCAACTTCTTATTATGGGAAATACGAAAACGTCTTTTAAAACTACGACTCCCAGTAGAGACGTGCCATAGATAGAGAACATGTTGCGAAACAGAATAGCCAGCATGTGTAGTTCTGGGGACG